CCAACTGGAGGCTCAATGACAGCAGTGCATCAGCTGCGATTTGGTCCTATTCCTAGCACCTGTCTGCAGGTATGGTGAACCTTAGAACATATGGGTGACATGAGGGAGTGGCAGTAAGATTCCTGTCATAAAGACACATGCTGGCTGTTGCAATCCACTGCTGATAAGTGAAATGAAGAGGCTATTCCAGAGATGCAAATTGGATGGCTTATTGTCCCAAGGTATTTCAGGTCTATTGTCTCTTCCCAAGGCATAATCGTCTGAGCTCTTCTGGAAGCTACTTTGAGATGTTGTAGAAACTGTATTGGGCCAGTAAAAAAAAACATCTTACTTATTCCTGAGAAGAACTGATAGACATGAAACATCTTGGACCAATAAGGCATCATCTGCATATATCCTGCAAGCTCTGCCTTTCTTGTTCTCTGAAGCCTTGACCCAAGAACACAGGAAGCCGAAGGCACTTGAACAAAATAGGTTAAAGTATCATGTGAATTGACCATCTCTCAGTATGGTCTTGTGAAAAGAACTGCAAAATCAGAGTTTCTGCTGCCCCTGTGTCTTTTTAGAGAGAAGAAACTGATCTGAAAGAAAAAAATAGCATTATGAGATGGCTAAAGGAAAGTCTATACCAAATAATCAACCTCTCAAAAGTGTGTTGGTTCGGGACAAAGAGTGGGAGGAAAAGCAGGTACACATGGGACCTGGAGTTGGTTGATAGCAGTGAGCTGGAAAGTATGATTGGGAAGAGAGAAATCGGTGTCTGGGCGCTTTCATGGCTTTAAGAACACCTTTTCTCAATAGCATGTATGAACATGATTAAGGCAGCCCATGGAACTGGTGGAGATCCTCAGAACTGTGACTGATAAAATTTAGTTCACTGGTGGGTACGTATTACTCGGTTCTGAACAGGTGACATTTTCAAGGTATGTTTTCTGTTCCCTATTGCTCTGGAAATGAGCCAACAGTGTAATGTGGCTGCAAAAAAGGCAAATGTTATTTTAGGATTCATTAACAGAAGTATAGTCTCCAAATCCCATGAGGTGTTAGTTCCCCTCTATTCAGCAATGGTTAAGCCTCATCTAGACGAGTACTGCGTCCAGTTCCAGACACCACACTTTAAAAAGTACTGTATGCCAGCAAAGTAGTGCAAGTTCAGAGGAGGGCAACAAGGACGATTTAGGGAGCTGAAAACCAAGTCCTATGAGTAAAGATTGAAAGAACTGGGCAAGTTTAGCCTTGAGAAATGAAGACTGAAGGGAGATATGAGAGCACTTTTCAAATACTGTACTTGAAAGGTAGTTGTACAGAGGAAGGGCAAGATCTGTCATTGATCATCCCAGAGTGCAGGACACGTCAGAATGGGCTCAAGGTACAGGAAGCCAGATTTAGGATGTATAAAAGGAAAAACATATCGACTGTAAGAGTAGTAGAAGGGAACCAATTACTTTGGGAGGTGGTGAGCACTCTAGTACTGGAGATTCAAGAAAAAAAATGGACAACCATCCCTCAGATCAGCTTTGAAGTGGGTCTTATAGGCCCCTTGCAACTCAATTATTCTGATTCTATGAGTCTATGAAATATATATGATTTATACAAAGTATATACAATCTGTTTAATCCAAAGTGGCTCCAATTAATTTCAAGAAAAGAGAGTACCTATCTATCTTTGGCTAGGAGATGATACTTTGTTTTGAGGATACGCTGTTTAAAATACCAATTTATCTTTTATTAAGAGAAGATATTCTGTTAATTCATGTACAGTACTCCGTTGATGAATACAGATCTTAATGCCACCAGCTGATAGTGGTTTGGGACCCAGTCTAGCTTCCACTGACTTTCTTGACCTAATCCAGCATCAGCCTTATCAACATAAAGACTACCTATTTACCCTCAGTTTCCACTGACAAAGGAGCCTATGAGCAATCCACATGAGGTGGAGATTTCTGGAAACGTTATAGTGGAGGTATGTATTCTTTTCATGGAAAATAAGACTGTTTTGGTGCAACTCCAGTGAAACCTAATACTGTACTGTCTCATTATCTGATCAGCTTCACCTGAGAATCTGCAGACCCTTCTTTGCTACCTTTCCAACACAACATGTAGATGGACGAATACTGCCGCTGCCTCTGAAGATGGCATCGATGGCCTGTGCCGGCAGCAGAGCAGGCAGTGGTGGCAGGACCAGGCCACTGGGACAAACTCCCCAAAACACGAACTGCAAACCAGTTCGTTTTTTGGAGGTGGTCATGATTGTTCGTGGTTCCTGGGTAGCCTCAAACCATAAACCATCACAAACCACCAGTTTTTCTGGTTTGTGCCCATCTCTCATCATATTCTTTCAGGTGGATTTAGTCAGGTAAGTTCCCATTTCTTGATTGTGGAACAAGTTAGATTCTAAAGTCAGGTATCACTGCTGAAGCATTGGAGGTGGGATGATGTGCCCATAAGGGCAAATGTCGGCTTCCCTCTCTGACCCCATTTCTGACCAAGGAGCAGCTTCAGGTTTGTCTTTCGGCTGAGGTCACCACAGCTTTCTTTAGAGCCCTTCTTTCTAAGAGAGAACTACAAAACTTTCCAAATCCTATGGAAAAGCAAAACCAGTTTAACAGGAAGAAGGAGAGAGGGAGAGAGAGAGAGAGAGAGAGAGAAACTCTTCGGGAGGATGTAGTGCAGAAAGCGGCTACAAGTAGAAAACTGTTTTGTGATCATTACAAAAGAGCTGATTGGCCTTGAGCTAATTAAACACATTACCAATGTGGTGAAGTGGATAGAGTGATATACTAAGACTCTGGAGAACAGGGTTCAAATCCCCGCTCAGCCATTGAAACTCACTGAGAGAGTGGAACTGGTAAAACCACTCCTTAAGTATCTCTTATAAGTTGGTTTCGAGTTGATGGCACAGAACACACAGACACAATTAAGCAATAAGGGAAAAAAACAGAAGCTCTTGATAGGAGTAAATAACTCCCTGATTGATATAGGGTAGATACTTTGTTTTGAAGGATTTTTTTCCCCATCCACTCACATGGTATTTAATTGGCTTTGCTCTTTAAAAAAGTTGCTATCTTTGGGCCAAAGTGTGTATTTAACAATTCTGCCACATGCTATTGTTGTTTTAATTAGGAAAACAAAACAAAACAAAAACCATCAGCACTGCAACATGTTGACAAGGCCAGTAAAACCTTTCACTTTCCTGTCCCATTCTCAGTAAAAAAGAAAATCCCCCCATGTACTCTATTTCTGATGATATCGCTGTTTTAACAAAACCATCCTGAGGTGATTGCTAAAGACATATTGAGCATCTCATTCACTTTGCTTCCAAGTCCCATCTCTGACTAGAAAAACAGGCTCTTTACTTTAAGGTTTGGATGATTGTGATTACCTGTTAGCAAAGCACTTGATAACAGTGTGGGCTAGAAGTGCCCCTAGTGAGCTGGGTTCAAATATCTACTTGCCCATGAAAATCACTGGGTGGGCTAACGAGGGTCACACACTCAACTTGAGCAACCATACAGTAGGACAGTGAACAGCCATGTCAACCACCTTCAGATCACTGAGGGAAATATGGGGCAATCAATCAATCAATCAATCAATCAATCAATCAATCAATCAATCGATCAATCAATGTGCCAGAAGGCAAACCGTCTTGTTCTGCCAATACCCCCAAATTGAGCCATTTGATTGAAAAAGATATTTCACCCCTTGTTAGAATTTTTGCCTCCCAGCCCTGACAACATTGCTATCAGCCTGAGCCCTTCACATTCTTCTAGGTTCTGATCCTGGAAAGCGTTATCTTCTTTAGTAATTTATCTAATGATAGAGAACAGATTAGAACTGGCAAAGTCCCAAGATCTGTTCCTGTCTTCAGCTGAGAGAGCGAGAGCGCACACTGCTTCTAGGTGTGTTTCCCCAGGTGGAATCTCTTCTTTGCGTATACACTGGCAGAGCTGGCCATCTGTTGCCGACTCTTCTCTGCTCACATAATACTAGGCCCTTTATATTATCAAAAACCATACCACACACCACACTCTTATCTTCATGGTCCCCAACTACTTCTATCTTGTGGTGGCCCCATCTCATATTTTCTTCCATACAACCCAAATGTCACAATTCTGTCATGCCTGCCAAGCTGAAGCTATGATGCCCTGTCTTTTTGGGGCACCACAGTTTGCACCCCAACCAGGTACACACTGAAGAACAGGAGAAAAAACAACAAACAATTGAATGGATGATAGGAATAGGCTTTGCTCCCCAGCAGAATCTTGGAATATCCTTACCTCAATTTTACTCTCCTTCCTTTATAGCCTTTCCCAGGGTAGAGTTTTAGATTATAAGTTTCTTAAAGCCAGGAGCCAGTGAATCATTATGCATATTGATAGCAGTAACCTCATTTTTAAAAGCTCAGATGATTTTTTAAAAAATGGCCTACTTTATTTTCGTAAGCAGAATCCTCCATCCTTTCCTTCACCAGCTTCTCGTAGCAGCAAAAACATTTTGCCAGTTTGGTTTCAGTGAATGCACAGAAGTCCTGCTCACCCAGCACAGAAATACCAGGAGCTGATAGAGAGGAATGCTCCACTTGGCCCATCTTCTACTAGTAACCCCACAGCTCACTTGCCTACATATAATTTCTTGTCACCTACATTATCAGTAAATGGTGACATATAAGAGGACAGTGTGAATCACACTAATCTAGAGTAACATACTAATTGAGTTGGAAAGAGCTTATAAAACCATAGAGTCTACACCCCTGCTCAATGCAAGAATCCAAATCAAAGCAGTTCTGACAGATGATCGAATAAATTTCTCTTCAATGCCTCCAGTCTTTGGAGCACTCGCCACCTCTTGAGGTACAGTAATTGGTTCCATTATCATACTGCTCTCAAGATTCAGCGACTACTTCAGTTGTTACCCTAAGCTTGCTTATATGCCCATGCTTTTTGTTCCCTTCCTTCCTGAGGCATCTTTCTCATTCTTTTCCCTGAAGTGCTGAGGTCTTACCTTGCTGAAACGCCTTTCATCCAGGTGTGCCTTTGAGTGAATGCTCCAGCTGCCTGCCTGCTGGCTACTGCATTTCACTGGGGAGGGAGTGGCTGGGCGTGGCGCACAAGGTGGCAATACGTTCAAGCTGCCTTATGAAAGGCAAAGACCACATTCCTCAGGTAAAGCAACAAGAAGGAAAGGAGGACAGTGCTTGTTGTCTGGAGCATCTCTTCTTTAAGCCCACTGAAGGACGTGGAAGGAAAGCACAGTTCCTGTATCTCTAGTCCACAGTAAGATGTTTGCTGGAAAAAAAGGGCGAAAGGAATCAATGAAAAGCCACACTCCACTGCCAAATGTCAAATGAGTTGAATTTTGTCCCTGACTTTCTTCACTGTCTTTCTTTCACAGGGTAGGAATGATTTTGATATTGCTTCCAGTGACATTCTTCAGTAATGCCAACTTCCTCCTTTCTTTTTATTTTCTACTTCAAAAGGCAAAGAGGCATCTTTTGGAAAACATGCACACATGTCTGTAGAGCTTTTTCCGGTCCAATACACCTTTTCTTCCTCAGTGGTTGTTGTGGGTTTTTCGGGCTCTTTGCCCGTGTTCTGAAGGTTGAAC